ACAAACTAATATGCTGATTTGCTGCTCAAGAAACATTCTTCTTATTATCAATGTTGAAAACAATTGTGCTGCTTAATATTTTTATGATCTTTTTTTTTCTTTCAGGATTCTTTGAAGAATAGATGCTTCAAAGGAACAGCATTCATTTGAAAATAAATATTTTGTAAACATCATAAACATTTTTAAAGTCACATTTGATCAATTAAATTCATCCTTGCTGAATAAACATATTAATTTAAGACAAACAAACAAAAACAAATATTACTGACCCCAAATATTTGAATGGTAGGGTATATATTGTTATCATAAAATAAAATTACATGATTTAAGATTTCGATCATTTTATTAATTTATTTAGTCATTTATCAGACGCTTTTATCCAAAGCGACTTACAAATGAGGACAACAGAAGCAGATCATACCACCCACCCCTACTAGCTGTGTGTGTTCAATTATTTTCATCCTCTTTTATTAGATTTTACTGATGCTGGACACACAGTCAAACAGCTTGAGACGCAACAGAAAAGCTTAACACAAGAAAGCACCATTTTTCCACTAATTACTTCATCTCACAGTTCCAAATGCTGCCTAACCATACTCTTAATTGCTGAAGTGCCACGCTTAAGCGTATCAAAAGAACCTTTTCAAACACACCTGCCAATCCCAGGCTGGTGGCCTTTTAACAAACCAGCAACGACATCTGTGTCACCCTTCCCTCATTTGCATACTTTTTAAAGGTTACAAGTGAACGAAACAGCACTTTTTGTCGCTAAGATTCAAAGTACATACACACTTTCACATTGTTATTAGCGCAGAACATTAGCAGAAACAAACACACACACATTCACACCTTTTATGCTTAATTACTGCCACCATGTTCAACAAGCTTGTTGCCCTCGGATTTATAATACACACATCTCTTCACCTGAGAAGAGATACAGGGGGCTAATTAACATTTGTGCCCCAGGTGTGGCTTGTCACATAGCGCCCGTACACAAGCTACGACCAGAGATTTCACCACTTTGGCAAATTTATTCAAAGCAGGGCTTGCCTCAGTCTGACATAGTTTTCACAATGATTTATGAACCTGCTCATTGACCCAGTTTATCCCGAGAAGGGAAGAGAAAGACCATAAGAGAGAGGCAGAAAGAGAAAGTGGGAGAGAGACATAGAGAAAGAATAATAGCAACAAAAGAACAACATATCTTTCCCATGCACAAGCAAGGAGTGCTACAGGGTGCGGCCTAGACCGAAATGTATCCATCATATATACATCATAGAGAGACAAAGTATGTAAAAGCTTGTCTGAGAGAGATAAAAAAAGCCAAATAAAAGGTACATTTAAGATAAAAATAAAATAAAATCTAAATTTACTTCCTATCCCTTCCATATAGTATGTAAGATTAAAATTTGAATGTCCCCACAGTACATAAAACATGTATAAACACATGGTAAACAGTGTTCTCTAGTTTAGCATGCTGCAAAGTTTGTCAGTGTATGCTAAGTTGGCTAATATTTCCCACAATCCCTTGTGCTCTCCCTGATAGCACACATACATCTCGGAGACGTCTATTTGAAGTCTGCAAGACATATTTTTTAGAGAGTTTGCTCATCTGCAATACGTCTATAGGACGTTTCCTTTTAGATGTCAAATAGACGTCTATTATATGTCTTTAAGATGTTTATGATTTAGAATGCATGTAAAACTGACAGCTGAAAGACGTCTGTCAGACGTTTGTAGACAGCAGATGCTTTCCAGATCAAGAGACCTTTAACAGACATATCGCAGACGTACGTGTGCTATCTGGGCTTATTCAACTTAGTCAGTTTTAGAAAACAAATGAATTATTTGATGCCAAAACCGCTGCAGCAGTTCTTAAATATATCTTTGTTAGCCTAAATGCTAAAAAATTACACCCAGCTTAACATCCAGAGACAATTATTAGAATCCCATTCATACAGGAAGTTGATTTCTCTGAAACGTAAACACTGCAATGCCAAAAAAAATGCCTTGTATGTATTTAATATATTTCAAGCATGTACACATAACCAATGAATATTATTAATCACTTTGCATCATCAATTGTGACAAAATTAACCCTTTCACACCTCCACTCCACAGCTCTCTAGGACACAAACATACGTAACAAGATCGGTGTATTTTCTTTGTGGCATTACTAATGGTCAATTGTTAAAGACTAGCGTTTGAGATAATCCTGCTTCAGCGGACACCTCCTTGCAATCTGTCTCGTTATTATTAATGCAGCAAGCTCCTTTCACAGGCCTCTCTCTGCTTCCTGCAGCCCAGCTTGAGGTCTCTCTGATTGGGCAGCTCCAGTGGTCCACAGCGAACGCCTGCCTGCAATCTGTTTCAACAGAGCCATTCACTCAGCTTGCGCGGGTGCGGACTGACCCCATATAAGAAGGAGAGAGAGAGACAGAACCATATATCGCAACAGGAGACGACTTGTGGCACGAAGATGAAACAGTACTGGGCTTGTAACCACGGTCGGAACCCCTAAAATGAACATCACAAAACAGTCTGGAACATTCGCCACATTTTTCAGTTTGTCACTGAAGGCCAGCTGTTTGTTTTGGAGGTGAACGTTTTATACGTATGTGAGTCTGGGAGTATTTCATATAGATCAGATATACACAGCTGGCTATAAAATCAACATTTACTTCTTGAGAAAACAGCGCCACTTCAGAATATTTCTACGATGTGACAGATGAAACATATTTTGCTTGGAGCGATACATGAGCTGTATCGGTTTAGATTGGCTTCACTTCTGTGATCACTCACCAGTAAAGAGAAGTTTCATGAGTGGAAATCGGGTAACGTAACACAGCTGAGGGGTCTCATTTAAGTACAGTTCTTTCCTGCTGTAGGTTTAGTATCCTCTGTCCCACTAACCTTGCGACCCTTCACCTCTCACCTGAAAGTCATAAAACATCCTACAGCTCACTTAAACTCGTTTAGTCAACTCGGGCTGTGTCTAAAACCTGAAAAATGCTGCCTTTGCAGGCTGTATATGGCGGTAGGAAGCATTCCAATATCTGGTTGAATGAACAAAAAAAGTGTGTGATGCACTTATTTATTTGAATCAACATTTGACTACAAAACTTTTGCTTGGTTATGTCTGAATATTGTTTCGGATCATTAGATGACGTTATAGTGTCTTGGAAACCAGTTTGTTTCCTTACAAGTTACCTTCATTCACAAAACAGTGCCCTTTTAGATTAGGTTTCAGACAAAGCATCTGACTTAGCACCATGCTGGAAATGTAGAGAGCTAACGAGAACAGATAGGGGGAAATGAAAGAGAGTTACAAGAGCTAGCAGAGGAGAAAAAAGGAATAATCGGGGACTTCATCAATTTTTCATGAATTTTCATTTAGGCAAGGAGACCCCTCTTAGTGCGATCGATAGATCAAGCTGCTGTCACACAGTTAGCACCTGGGGGCCGCCACCACCGCTTGGGAAGAGCTGAGAGGATCAGAGAAAACACACACCCCCTGCCAGCTACACGAGTGAAAACACGCACAACACACACACACTTACTGCCTTTATACCCTTCAATATATACCCTATAACCCAAAACGCAGTTGTGTATCAACAATTACAGTTTAAAGATAGAAAATGTATTCAAAAATATTACTGAAAAGCTTCCTGCAATTGCTAGCTTGAAAGTACCCTTTGCAAAAACTAAATGCAAACATCATCTCTGCATTTCTATCCTTTAACCCAAATCACCGTACTGTATCATCAATTACAGGTTAAAAATAGAAAATGCAGCAGCATTCAAAATTTACTGGCTCTCAAAACGTTCCCACAATCCCTTCATCTAGAGTTACTCTTTCCAACATATAAACATACACACACTCTCTCATTACTGCATAGGGTCTTGGCGGCAGCACACAGAGCCAATTTACTTATCCATTCATTCAATATTTATCATCATATCCCTATTTCATGATGGATCGCTCCTATTTTCATAACAATGCATAAGAGAGGACGCAGTATTGATCAGCTCGGGTTGAAACAGACTTCAAGATAGCAGCTCACTTAGACTTCAGGTCTAGACTACAAACTCAGCGGAGCAAGACCAATATTCCTTAATCTCTAATGACTTTTGCGTTGGCATATCTGCTAAGCTAGCGTAGCTAGCTTTTATGCCACATTAAAATACATAAAGGCTTAAAACCAACTATAGATGCTGAAATGTAGTAACTAATCACAAAGATCACAAACTCCCAAGACAATAGGCACAAGGTCTGCCTAGCAAAGAGTTTATTGGCCACAACGGTCCATTAATCAGCAATGATTTAGCAAAAAGGCTTCTCATTAAAATAGCATACTCATTGGCTGGTAGAAAAGCAAATGAGGACAGGTTAGCTGTCACTCATAATGGTCTTTGATTAGCTTGGGGTTTTGATCCCAGGGGATGTGCTCTCTCTGAAAATTCAAGTCAACCCAACAGAGACCCATCTTCAAAGCAGAACCCATCTATAGGTTGTCAATAAGCCCCCTTCCCAGACTCTGCCTTCATGTGTAGAGTGTCTACACCATCCTTCCATTCATAGCACTCTCTTTCAATTGAGTCTATCGCTCTGCACTTCCTTGGCATGCCCTATCATTTCCATTTCTCAGACAGAAGGGAAAACTACAAGCCTGGCAGATTGTCCTGAAACAGACTAATATTTCTAAGATTTGCTAAAACATATGTAGAGCTAATTAAAGTAAGAAGCCAACTGCAAAATAGTTCCCACTGATAGTTTTAGAATTAGGGAAATCAGGCATTTTCCAAAATCCATCAGATGCAATACTAAATCACAAGTCTATGAAGAAAAAGTTGTGGTATTCTAAAAGCAGAATTGTGTAATTGTACACTTAGGAACATTAAGGTGTAGTCTGGTCCACGGGGTTCATGGAAAAAACAAGTTCTCCAACCCTGCTTGTTACTGTGTCTCAAGACAATAATTAAAGAAATCGCATACTTACATGCTACTTCCAGTGAGGCGTTTCGACTGACTGCTTCCCCCAAGTAGTTGCGTGCCACACAAACGTACGCCCCCTCATCAGGTTTGCTTCGACGGCCATGTACGATACGCAGGAAGAAGAGCGAGCCGCTGGGAAGGAGCATGCGGTGGGATCGAGGGTCATCTTTATCGGTTTCAACTCGTTCTCCATCTTTGTACCACTCCACAGTAGGGGTGGGCCGCCCCTCTGCCTTGCAGTTTAGGGTGGCTGGCTCGCCCTTGGATACAATTAGATCGGAGGGGTGTTCTACGATCCGAGGTGGAGAATCTTCCTGCCGTAGACGGGATCCTGGGAAAACAGAGAAAAAGGAAGACTTGTCAGGTCCAACCTTACATTAATGTTCAACATGATATAGCTTCCACAAGACTGCAACAAACCAATTAGCATTGGTCTTAGCCAGGGGTGTCCAATCCTGTTCCTGGTGAGCCAATGTCAAACAGATTTTAGCTCATTTTTATGCCTACACACCTGTCTGGAAGCTTCTAGTCTTTCTGGAAACCTTGATAAGGATTCAATTTGTTTAACTGGTGTTGGAGCCAAACTCTTCAGGACAGTGGCCCTTCAGAAGCAGGACTGGACACCCCTGATCTTGGCAATCACAATCTAACATTTTGAATCTCCAAAGAACCTTTAAGCCAGAAAAAGTAAGGTTTGAGTTGGGAAAATCTTAATAAATACTCCATTAAAACAATCATTTATCTCTACTGCCAGTTGTTCACTGAGCATATAAAAGCAATGTTTCTGAGCCAAGAAAAGCCATGTCAAAACACAACCCAGCTCTCTGATCCAGCACACTAATTTAGGGTGCCGCATAGTGAGCTGGCAAGCCATTGGGGATTTGCCCTCTGTGACAGAGAGGTTCAGGAGTTTAGACTCACACTGTGTTAAAATGCTAATCCCTTGAATGTTCCCCTGCATGGCCCTGCATTTGGTATGGATAAAGCTAGCAGCCCACGCTAGGAGTCTGGCCCTTATGATAATAGATTGCGGAAAGAGCAGTGTGAGCCTTAACCTTAGAGATAAGAAGCCAGAGGCCACCCTGCATTTACATCACTAAGGCACGGGCCAAAAAGGGACAAAAGCAGCCGCTGATCCCCCCCAAAACCCGGCCTAAAAGAGATGCTAAGCCCGAGCCGCTACCGCTGCCATCAGATGAATGCTGTAAGCTTTATACGCTTCAATAGCACATGGCTAGCTTGGAAACACCCTTGAGATTGTAAATGCTGATTTTCTACTTATTTTAGGGATTTGAATCACTTAACACTAGGAGTAACTGCAAAGGGGAAGGGGATATGGTTTTAGCATATGATTGTTCAGTATAAGAAGTGTGTTAGGCATCTTTGTGGGGACTAAAAAACATACACTGTGGGCCTCAAAATGACCAAGTTTCATAGAGAGAGAGAAAAAAAAGAGCATAACGCAAGATTATCAACAAGACCAAGAAGTTACATATACAAATTAAGTGCAATATGTTTGTTCATTAGCTTTTTTTAGGCACTGCTAGTGGCTAAACCTCCCGAGAGAATAGCATGCTAGCACACAGCTCTGTGCAGCTTTGTTTGTTTAGCACTGCTAAAACAGCTGCTCACTAGCTGTTTGTTCAACATAAACCACTGCAGAGCGCAGACTGGACCTCCTACGCTATGAGCCCCAGTGGCAACAGCTAGTTTGAGCTGAAGGTGGCCGTGTCCTCTCTTGGGACGGCAGGTGTGCAGTGCTGATACAAGAGTTCACTGCGGTGCTAAACTCTTTCGGTTGCTGATGCCTGGAACGGCAGTAAAAAAGAGCATTTATTTAGGTTGTTTAGGATCACTACTAAATGCGAGATCCACGCTGCCTATTCTTACCTGTTGGATCAGGACACAACATAGCAGAGAAGCAAGCTTGTTTGTTAGTGTGCAAATATGTATTGCTGAGTCTAGCATGTGTTAGTGTGCTCTAAAAGTTAATTCACTCCTGCAGTGCAGTATGGACTCTATTAAAGGGAGCGAGGACTCCCACTTCCCCCAATTTGTGCTAATTCCTGCCATTTCCCACTCATTGATTAATGATCATTCCAGCTGTGTGCTATCTAAGTGGGGTCACACACAGGACCCAGTGCAGACTTGGGGGTCACACAAGGGACTAGCTACTGACAGGGCGAGATCTTATCCTGTACCCTCTCCAGGTTTCATGTTTAAGATGTGCTACATGAAACCGAGCTCTGCTGAAGTTTGCAGATACACTGATTTTGCTCTCTCTCACTGCCTCTCGCATTTCTCCTTCTCCTTCCCTATTGACAGTCTGCATCCCTCAAAAACTGAGGTGTCAAACTCATTTAAGGTCAGGGCATTTACTACGGCCTGATGCAACCTTGGTGTATCCATGCAGAGAATATGCCCTTCTGGATCTAAAGAAGTCCAGAATAAATTTATACACATACTAATTTTTTATGAATTAACACAAATGTTTATAACATTTTGTTTTTCATTTATGTTTATGTCCTGCTTTCAGCAATCAGAAACAAGATCGTTTGATGTTGCAAGTGACTAAATGAACAAACCACTAATTAACATTATGACATTGATAAATGGGGTGGGTCGAGATAAGGGGATGATGGTGAGACCATGTCCGCCAAGAACGCACATATACACACATATTAACTGCTATCTCACTGGAGCATCTGTTTAGCTTCTAATCGACAGCCACTGGCAGAGACTTTTACATGACTGAGGTGAATATGCTTGCACTTGCCATGCGATTCGATTTTTATTAGTCTAATTTCTTTTAATCCAATTTGTATTCCAATCTGCAACCTCTAATCGTCTGAACCTTGAGGCGCTATCTGCTTGCTGTATTTTTTTCTTTAGTTTTTTTATCCATGGACAAATTTTGCTCAGCAGATGCTTCAAAAATTGTGCTTTTCCCTGTTAAGTGAGGAACAGAAGGAAATATGAAAACAGATAGAGGATAAACCAATAAAAGGCAATATTATTCTCTTCATAGCATAAATGTAGCCCATTGTTTTTTGACTAGGTACTGGGGAGTAACTAACTGTCCCGCGAACGCGAGGTCTGACTTTCCCGGAGAATTGTCACCTCTCTTGGCGTCTGTTCTGTGCAGTGAGCGGCAGAGAAGCAGCACATTCAGTTGGCCGCACCGCAGCCGACTCGTCAATAAATGAGTACAAAACAGCGTTTCCTAGCACCTGTCACTTACTGATTGTTTGGAATTATAAATATTAACAGACGAACTACGCTCATATCACATGCACGATTTTGTTTGTTGTTTTTTTTAGTTTGTTACTCAGACGCAGGCCGTGCGCTGCATGAGACAAAAAAGTAATATAGCCAAAACAACCGCATAGTGTAGATCTTTAGTGTAGATGCATGTTGATTTTATCAGACGATGCCGCGATTATAAATGAGAGTGACTCCCGGTTAACATGTATTAAAAGGGGTCGTGTTTAGTCACTATTTAGTGTGGTATTTTTTGACAGTATTCATTCATCATGACAGTAAAATAGGGCATTCTAAGTCAATATACTGCAGTATTTCCTCTCTCAATCAGTAGAAAATATGGTTAACACCCGGTCATGCATGAAAAAAATACCGTCATGTGTTTATAGCTGAAACCGGTATAATTTTGAAAAATACCGTGATATAAATTTTTGGTCATACCGCCCAGCACTACTACATATTTTGAAAGCCCAACGCTGTTTTTTTACCTCTACAGATATACAACAGTCAAACCTTGCTGTTTTCCACTCTTGAAATTGTAAAACCAGTTTTTACAGTGACCACTATAACAGGGTCAATCATACAGGCAGACAAACCGCAACCCCCACCCCAACACACTCCATTACCCCTAACACACTTGTGGATGTAGCACATTAAAAGTAATTTTTTTCTATATTTTCTCCCATCAGCAGACTAAGCCACTGGCAATGTCAATTTATTTCCTTCCCACTCTCTGTCTCTTTGTTTCTCTCTCTCTTTCTCTTCCTGCTGCCCTCTCTTAATGCGATCATTGCTTGTTGTACAATCAAGTGCTCTTGGCCGCCTGGGAGAGTGCTCTTTACTATGTCTCTGAGTGCACACCATTCAAAGAACAATTTCCTCTTCCCTTGGACCCCCCAGCCAGCCCACACACACAAGGGCATATATGCATATGCACGCACATTTGGACTGGGGAACACACACATGATGCGTGGAAAACCGTGTGAGAAACTGTGGACATTCCAATCGAGTTTGATTCATGCATTCATAATCATTCTTGAAATGACATGTAACACACTGATGCAATTTATATACATACATTTTCCAGAAAGTATATTTTAGCGGGGGAAGAAAAATGGAAATAGCATCATCTACCTCCATCTCATCTAAGTTTCCTAAAGCCTGTCTCCTCCTCCTCGCCATAGGCATCCTACAGAATCAGTCGAGGAGGAGGATGTGTTTTCTATGGATGAGAAAGCCTAGAGGGGTTGAACTGTCATGTTAGTCATTGTTTACAGGCTGGTTAAGAACAATAGCTCACTTGCAGATCCTCCCTCTTGTCTCCTGCATGGGGAGAGGTCTAATTTCATCCTTGTTCATATCGTGCCACCACTTAATGGATGGTGAAGGACAGAAATAGTAGTTTGAACTGTTTATCTTTCTGAGCCTACTGCTGAGCCATCTACAGTACATTTCCATAAAGTTATCTTCATCTTCTCTGTTCTCCTCTCTGCAGGAGTCATGGCACCCACAAACAGGACCTCTCTGAGACACCAATAATAACAAATGAAGACTATCACAACTCTCCTAAGCAAAGACCCAAGTAATCTCACATATCTACTCAAGAGTTTCAGAAAAGATCTCAAACTGTGTTCTGATCAGTTACCAAATTATCTAAGCTTCACTACATAAATATATCTATATTTCTATATTTTTATTTTTCCCTAAGCGTATTTAGGAGAAAATCTGAGTCGATGTTGATACTTCAAAAAAAAAACCTGAGAACCATGAAAGAGCAATAAACCTCTAAGCATTCAAATTTTCAGCCAGCCATTCACCATCCAAATCAATAGCCAGAGCTACTATCCACCTACTGCAGCAAGGCCAGAAAGGCCCCAGAGGACACATCACTTATTGTGTGTGTGTGTGGAGCTGTTATCAGAGGTTACCACGGGCAGCGTCCCAAAGGTGTTCTAATTACACTGTTCCATTGGCAATAAATAAAAGGCGAGGAAAAGAGGTCACCGTTTGACGAATGGTTATTTTAGGATTTTGATGCGGATTAACGTTAATTGAATTAGTATGCGCCTG